TGATTAGCAGCCAAGTGTTTAACCACTGCGTGCCACCAGGGTTCCTTTTGATCTATGACAGGGGGAAAGCCTTGAGCAGTGACTATCGAGGGAAGGGCCAGGAGGTTGCCTGTTTAACATCAATGTTGGTGTTTTGGTTCATTAACATTGGGTTGTGTTGATATCCTTCTCTCTCTTTCTTTCCCTATAAAGGAAGGCAACTGCTCTTTATCTTCTAAAGATAACCTTCTGAAAAAATCTAGGCAAGCTAAGAATCACATTGGGAAATATCCTGATAGCCTCAGGAATCTCTAGGCAGTGTGGAGGAAACCATATAACTTCAGCGATAATGAGGGATTCTTTGAGGAGACTCAAGTGTCCACTTGGTGTGAGTTTCTAGTCTTCTAAGCTGAGGACCAGAGGAATCTAATGGAAGCTACCTAATGATGCTAAATTAATAACTGGTCTCCATTTATTTATTTATTACTTTTTCGTTTACCTGTTTTAGTCTGTGGGTTAAGCAAGTTTAAGAATGAGACATGAATGAAGATCTAGGCTTTCTCTGTGTAATCCAGTATATCTCAGCACAGTTGGGTGGTGGTGTAATTCTGCTGGTTCCTAGGTTCTGGGGTTTCTCTGTGATAAGATGGAATGTTCCAATATTGCCATATGCAGCATGCCATGTTGCCCACTTGTCTCAGTGAACAAAGATCATATACCAGAAAATTCTCTCTAAAACATTATTTTGCTCAGACACTGTTCAATTACAGGAAATTTTGTTTGTGTGTGGAATATATTTGCTTCCAAAGCCCAAATATTCCTGTCCATAAACATAATTTAATTACTTTAAAAATACATATGTACTAAAAACATAAACTCAGAGTTCTCTTCAAAAGTAACTAGTGTATACAAGTTCATGATTTATTATGTTACACCTTTAACTAACTCAATGGCTCATCTCTTATGTGAAATAAAACAGATGTACAGGAATAATTTCAGTTAATACAAGAGTTAAGAATTTTTTTTTTCAGTCGTGATATAATAATAGATGACCATGCAAAGTATGAGCTTAAAATAAAATGTTATTAAGTTATTCAATTTTAACACCT